AAAATAAATACAAATAACCACACATACAGTAAAATGTACTAAGACTTTCTTGTCTTTAGTAAAGCTATTAATAATTTAGTTAGAAGAATACAAATAGAAGATCTTTAGTTTCTGACCTCTTCCTGCTGCACTCCAGCCCTCGCATGTGTTTGTTAAATTAAAGAAATCAGCAGCGCACCTGATTTAATTCAATGAAGGATTGATTAGATGAAGCAGTTATTGCATGGGAACTGTTAATACTGGACTTCCTCAAGGAAGTGATCACCTTATTATCCTTTGGAAATGATAACGACCAACTGTATAATACGCTGCAACCTCTATTACAAGCAATTTGCTGGAACGGTCGTGAGAGGTTGATAGGCAGATGTCTGACAGTTCTGTCCTAGCCGTATTCCTGCACTCATTTCCTAAAGGAATAATATTTAATTGAGATGTCTGCGTACACTTGCGAATGATTCCTCAATCACAGATTGCATTATTAATAACTATTGATAGGACGTTACTGAGCAGTACTTTTAGCAAAATCCTCCTGTGAGAGCCCAGCTGACCTTCAGCTGAGAGAGAGAGATTTCAGGTATCTGCTTCTCCAGCTAAGAGCCCTGCGGCAAGCCCAAATGTCAAAACACCCTGAGCACAAATCAATAGACAAAGTGGCAGTATTTAAAAACAACACCAAAAAAAAAAACTCTTCTCTCTTATGTTGGTGATATTTTTGAAAACAAGTAATCCCCTGATCACTTGCTACACAGTACTGTGCAAAACAGCCAGAAGCTGAGGGGCTCCTGAGTGGCATAACTGTCTAAGCATTGGCCTGATCATCAGGAGACTGAGAGTTTGATCTTCGGTGATGCTACAGCCATTCGCGGCCAGGAGTCCGAGAGCATAATTGGTCTTGCTCTGGGTAGGATGGGTGGGTAGGATGGCCCTCCTTCTCCCCCATCACTTGGCGCAATGCTAGCCAGAGCAGGTGTTTGTTGGCTGGTATAAAAGAATCGGAGGTTAGCGTTCTCCTCCAAGCACGTTCAAGCTGTCCAATGATGTTGTGCTAGCGGCAGTTCAAAAAGATGCAGTGGCTGGCTTCACAGGACTCTGAGGAAGCCTGTGTTTGCCTTGGCCCTCTTATCGCTGGTGGTTTTGTGTGTTTAGGGGAGCCCTACCTAGTGGGTGGAACTGGATACGACTAATTTGGGGAGAAAATTGGAAAAAAACATCAAGAAGGAGATTAGATCCAAGATAATCCACTTGCATAAGGAATGAGTCAGAGAAAAATAAGTGACAAAAGACACATTTCCAAAATCTGAGTCCAAAAAAAGATTAAAACATTAAGTGAAAATGGGACTCCTAACAACTGTGCAATACCCAATAGACCCCCAAAACTTTCACAATCAGATAAAGCTTTCATCATTGAGAGAGAGGAGAAAATCAAGCTCCACTCTTGCTTCAGATCTGAAAAAAATCCACAGGTGTTTCTGTCCATCCTTCCACTGTGAGAAGATATCTCAACGCTGTGAGTTTGAAAGTATGTGCAGCTGTCAAGTTATTGAGGAAAGCAAATAGACAGAAATTAAGAACATTTGAAAATTAAATAAAGATTTAGAAACAAACAAAGCTGCTGGTGTTCTCAGAAAAATGCACTGGCCATCTTACAGTCCAGACTTCAAAAACACTGTATGTGTTTGGGCTTACTTGGATCGTGAGAAGCAGAAAATGCAACCAACTTTGAACTTTGGAGGTGTGGAAAAATATCTCTGCAGATTTCTAACAAAAATTAAAAGCAAGTGCCCTGCAAAGAATGAAAGCTGTAATAAAGGCAGAGGGTGGACACACTAAGCACTGAAAAATTTGATTTAGTTTAGGCTTCTGTATAATTTTCTGTTAAATATATCAGTACTGAGCAAACGTTTTAGACATCTAAGCACATTATTTCAAATCATAGGCAGTCGGATGTCCTTGATGCCACCATCCACTGCATGGATCTGTTAAATTCCATCATCAACACTGATTTTACTTAATGAACGTACTGCTTGGTCAAACCAAGAATTAAATGATAACTACAATTTCTACTGGGCTGCCACTAAGAAAAGAGGATTAAACAAAAACATAACATATATGTAAAATAAAAATTTATTGTATTAATATTATTTGTATTTTTCTAATATCACTGTTTTTCTCCACAAATAAACTGACCAGATAAAGAGATTTTTAAATATAATGTTCTTAATTTCCTAAACTGTTTGCATAGCATTGTATGTTTTATTATTTTTTAACTTGTGCTTAATAGCCATTTTGATTGGAAATTAAATATATAACATAAATGAAGTAAAACTACTGTATATGCTATTATTCTTCTTCCTTGGAACACAGAAGGTAATATTCCAAAATATGGTTATAAGCTGTAGTTCAACAAAGCACTAAGCACACAACGGCTATTTTTGGGAGGGCCAAAAAAAATATGCATATTAAATTAGTCAGCAGAGGAAGAGAAGCATGATAACAGTGTAACATGCAACAGGGGCAAAAGGTTGATTTGTCATTATTTGACACTTGCTTTTTCATGGCAAAACAGACATGTCACAGTCAGCACACACATACCAACAAGTATCTCACATTAATCTAATGATTAGTGTCTTTGGTAAATGATTAAGTTAATCATGAAAACTCATTCTGATGATTCAACGTTTTGGTACAATTCAGAATTGTTATAAAAAAAAATAAAAATACACCGAATGAGGTACAGGCAAATCTTCCTGAAGGAACTATTTACTATGTTTATGTTTTAAAACAGCCTAATAATTTTACTTTGGCCAAAAAGGAAGCAGATGCCTTACGGAATGTTTTACCTAATAATTAACTAATTACAAATATTTCTAATATTACAAAATAATCGCCACTTTCAGATTGATCAAGCACTTTTACTAACTGAAAACTCACCCAACACGCATGCATGTAAACCCAATGTCTTCGGACCAACGTTAATTTTGCAACACCTCATTTTGGCTGTCTGAGAAACAAAAGCTACGTGAGCAGGGAGTTGCCGCAACATGATTCGGTCAAGTGTTGAAGTGACTGCCAAAAGTCTTGACACTACTGCTCTAATTCGGAGGGATTTTGCCAAATTTGTGAAAAGGAGCTGCTAAGCCTCTCTAAATCTTTGAGAATGAGTGAGGCAGAGAGAGAGAGACTGAATGCATTCCTGACTTCACCAACAGCAGGGCAGGTCGGCCAGTAGGCACAGGAATTCCTCTCAGGCTGGGACATACTCCCCTCTCTCAGCGCCTGATCGCGCTTTAATTAAAGTGTGTTTGTTTCGGTGGCTGTCGGCAGCAAGCTTCCCCGCTTGTAATGTAATTATCCTCACTGTGATTTCTGCCTCAACAAAACTGAGGGGGAAAAGTGAACACTCAGTACAATATAATGAGAAGCAAAAACTAACAGCTGCGCTTTACAAGGATCCTCAAAAGTCAGGAAAAATGTAGCGCTAAGTATAACAAACCCACTGTTGGCCAATAAGACGAACTGAAGGAAGCTATTTCGCTCAGTGTACTAGTGCACACAGCCTGAGCTGCTTCTAAATTCCCTGTCAGAAAAGTGCTGGAGTGTTTAAAAAGTGGAAAAACTACACCCTAATCTAGCACTCTTACAGTAAGAGTCTACTAGAGGTGCACATTAAGCCCTATTGGAGCCATATTAGTTTAACTGGGGGGGTGCTATAATTTGAGTGATTTCTGACCAGATCAGCTATTTTAATCCAGTTCGAATCTGTAATGTCTGTAGATTTTACAAGTCTGCTAAGTAATAATTCCAGAGTGAATTACCTTCTATAATTCACAGAACTTGGAGCTCCCTCAGTTACAGTAGTCCTACTCAAACCAACATCATGGTAATGTAACAACAAAGCTGGTAATGGAAAGCAGCACCTCTGTTTTTTTCTTTTTTTCTGTTTTTTTATGACATAAAGATAAGACTACAGCTCAAACAGAGCTTGATTTGACCCAATTCCTTAATCCTCAAGTTCAAGACAAGACTACTGAAATCCACAACAATTAGACAATCAGACACACACACACACACACACACACACACACACACACATATATCTAAGCCACTTATCCTTCTGGGTCGCGGTGGGGGGCAGCTGGAGCCTACCCCAGCAGTCATTGGGCGGAAGGCAGGATACACCCTGGACAGGTCACCAGTCCATCGCAGGGCAGACAGACAGACATACACATCCACACACACAATCACTCACACATTCACACCTAGGGGCAATTTAGCATGTCCAATTGGCTTGACTGTATGTCTTTGGACTGTGGGAGGAAACTGGAGTATCCGGAGGAAACCCACACAGACACGCAGGGAGAACATGCAAACTTCACACAGAAAGGACCCCGGTCACCTGGCCAGGGAATCGTTCCTCTCCTTGCTGTGACAACGCTACCCACTGCGCCACCGGGCTGCCCAGGCAGACAGACAGATGAAAGAAAACGAACAGATATAAAAACAGACAGACAGACAGATATTCAGACAGACAGGCAGACACACAGACAGACAAATGGGCAGATATAAAGACAAACAGGCAGGCAGGCAGGCAGGTAGGCAGGCAGGCAGGCAGACAGACAGACATATGTTAAGACAGGCCGGTAGACAGACAGGCAGACACACAAACAGACAAATGGACAGATATTTAGACAGACAATTAGACAGACAGACAGATACACCAGAGATTATACACAGAGATAGAGATACAGACAGAGAAACATACAGATGCGCTAAGCAGTTTGGAGGCACTGATATAGGTGGGAGGAACAGGGGGAATGAAGGAAAGAGGATAAAAAGAGGAAGAAAGCAGCTGAACTAAACGAAATTCAGGGAAACTGGAGTGAGGGGAAAAGAAAAGGAGGACAAAGAGAAGCAAGCGGAGACAGACAGCTGCAGAGGGATGAGATACAGAAACATGAGTGAGAACATGAGGTTGAGATAAAGTGAGAGTGAACACTTACTGATCTTATAGCCCAGCTTCTGGGCATGCACCCTCTTTGCCAAGAACTGTCCTTCAACCAGGGCTCGAATTTCCACCTCCTGGGTGAAGGTAGCTACCTGTGCAGGGCCGAAGCACAAAGGCAGGCTTTAATACAGGACAGAAGGCTGATTCCTGACTTCACAAAGCTTTCTTTCACTGCCCAGGCGTTCCCACAGATGAGCCGGGCAGCGGCAGTGACCTCAGCTCACACCATAAGGCAGCTATAAATCCCACTGTTGATTGAAGCTGCCCTTTCACACTGATCTGAGAGCAGTTTTCAACTTCACGTCTGAAACCGGGCGGGGTTAGAGTTAGGGCAGGGCAGGGCGATCCTAGATCAGTGGAAAAGGGCAACTTCTAGCCACAGAGACAATCCCAGCAGTTCACCCACAGTGCAGCTTGCAAAGGGCATGTGGACATAACTAGTGGTGAAGAGACTACTGATGAAAATACAGCACTACTACTACTACCACCACGATCTGATGAAATGGTAATACAAGGAATTGTTCTGATAAGAATGAAAACTGATCATTTTGGTTAGGGGTGTGACAATATATCATGACAGTGTGATATCACAAGGCAAAACTGTGAATTGTGGAGAACGGACATCTATTAATTATAGAACGTTTTCAAATGATCAGCATCAATCAACAACTCACACCAGCACTCCTCCTGCCTTGTGTCATTAGTAAGCTGTGCAACAACATGATTATAGTCCAATTTCATTCAAATTTTGTTACAAATATCATAAGAATACTGAATTGTGAACCCAGTATCATGAATTGTGGGCAATGCACTACATGCATTGCAGCCCTCCGTGAATTACAGGTACAATGCAAATTGACTGTAACATGACCTAATTTGAAAAAGGCACAATTAAATTAAAACTGTATGTGAGCAAAATGTAGAAAAAAACACTTCAAATGCCATCACTTTTAACATTCAGGCTTCAAGAAATCAGTCAATAGTGGATAAGTTACAAGAAAAGAAAAATAATCTTGCAACTGAATTATATTTATAATGAAATACTGAAATACAGTTATAATAAAACTACTCTGTAATTCATATAATCTACCTTAATCTATATTCTGATCAGCACATAAATCAGTTTTTTAAACAAACATTAAGAGTGCATACATTACCAGTCTGTGTAAGATCACAGCTGTATATTACTGTTTATGAGCAATATATACTGTTTAACAGATTTTAAATATTTACACCAAGACTCAAAAGTTTGGATTTGCAGTTCAAAAGTTTGGTTTCAGTTTTTTTAAAACCAATTTAAAACCATTTCAGTTGCAGACAAGTGCATGAAATGATCCTAATATGTGAGTCTTATGTAACTTCACATGTTTCTGATAATTGGTAGTTAGTTATCATTGTATATGAAAATAACTATCATCATCAAAGGGCTCATATCCTACATTTTCTCGTATTTTATTTTCCACTTATAACGTTTGTACTGTTATGCACCATAAACAGTCACAATCCATTCTTACACAATGACTTTCCAACCTCTCTTTATCCCTTTAAATTAAACTGGCTATTTTGTTGCTGTGTTTTTAAGACTGACAAAGGTAAATGAGCTCTGTTTTCCCATATTGCGCCTCATTCAAAAAGTAGTCCATGTTGAAACAATCCTAGTAACTTCAGTGTGAATGGGCAAGGCTGCTAAACAATGAATTCAAAGCAAGCTGTTTTGCAGCTTAGTGAACGATGTGTTTTGAAACTTATCAAACTCTTAAAAAAAAGAAAAAAAGGCTTCCTTGATATGAGTGCTTTAATAAGGCAATAAGGTTTGAGTCTAAACCTTCAAATAGTACGTCTTCATGTTCTTCCAACATCAAAAATCTATCTAACTAATCTAACTATATCAAATATCTAAAAGTACCTACTCGTCTATCATGCTGATCAAATCTGTGAATCCCAACCGCTGGGGGTGTGATCTCCACTGCATCAAAATAAATGCCTGAAACAAAAGTGACAAACCAGAAACCTTAGATTAGATTTAATTAATTAAACACCCTCTATTTAACATTAGCTCTATTTAACATTAGCTCCTTAAGGGACAGTGACATCTCTGTGCGGCGTATGAACACATATAACCCAATTTCCCCTGATGAAGTCAGAGGGATCTACAGAGTAAGTATGCTTATGACTTATGCCTTTAATCTGTAGAGTAAATGGAGCAGAATGATGGTCACCTATGTTTCCATTGTTTCCCATGGGGACGGACCTCAGGGCTCTGGAGAAACCTTCCCATGATCCCCCTGCACACTCGTTACGGATCCTCTCTCTAGTCAAAGAGCCATTCTTGTAGCTGAAAAGAAGAGCGGGCATCACAGGTGACAAGCTGAACTGAGGCCATCCAGGTGCACACTAACTAAACATCAGTGAAGAAATGCAGTGTGTTTCTATAGGCTTTTATTACCTATTGTCAACACCCAAGGGTCGTGAAGTAAAAACAAGGAAATGGGGTAATTTCAAGGGCCATTTGGGTTGAGCTGACGTAAAAGAAAATGAACGATGAGACCATCTTGGGCATTAAAAGTCAAGGAAGGCTAGCGGCTGGTGATCAAATTGATTTTTCCAGCTGCCAGTCCGGAACAATAAACGAACCTACAACCCGAAACCTTCCAGATAAATCCTAACATCAGTGCCGGGCTATCGGCCACTGTGCTACTATCCCACCATTCTACTAAAGACTCAGTGGGTTCCATCCTCCGCCACATGCTTAAACATGAGGGGTAGAGTTCTTTAAAGCAGCAGTTTTCAAACTAGGAGGTATGGGGGCTTTTTCCAAAAGCTGTACCTCTACTTAGTAATTTTCCATTGTGTCAGTTCATTAAATCTGCTTCAACAATATGTAAATAGTAGTGGTACAACCGTAAAAATGGTAGATGTTATTAAACATTATTCAAATTGCATATATGTGCTAGCCAATCACAATTTGTGCCCATCCAGCGCAGTTAAAGGGGAATTCCACCTTTTTTTCAAAAATCTGCATAATTAAAAGGTTATGAAGTAAACAAAGTAATTCAGAGCTGTCTGATGTGAAATGCTTCATTCTAAAGAAACATACAGGGTCATAATTGTTCACAGTGGTTGTAATAGGAACCAGACATTTGATGTAACTGCCACTAAAAGCTCCCTCACAAAAAGTTATTGCATGAAATGGTTATGAGTACGCTGCCTGATGTCTGCAACATTGTTTTACGATAGTTTTGAGACAAAGTTTTGGAGAGATACATGTAGGGAGTTGCGAGGCAAAATAGTCCCCAAAAAAAGGCATGGAGGGGATGGTGTGGACGACGGGGCAGTCGCAGAATCAATAACAAACAAAATCAATAATAAAGTGAATTAGACATTATAATCTTTAGTGTATTATTTATAAATATCATATGGACATCCAGCTAGCACTTCGTGAGATGCAAGCTAACATGTTAGGTACTGACAAGCTATGTTAATATGCAGTATATGCAGAACCCATATTCAACTGGGGTCTATATACCAGACATTAACACTTAGTACATGTTCACTAGAAATCTTCATTTTAGAATAGAGGGTCAGTTTGTTTTTATTTAGAGCTGAAGATTTAGAGCTAGAGATGTATTATTGCTATTGAGGTAAAATAAGCATATAAGTAGTAATGAACCACCAGTTAATTACCAGCTACTGCCTTGATAAGGCTTACCAAAAGCACCACAATGGCATTATAATGTCCCCCTATTCTGAAGTGATCTGTATATCCCAGTCAGAGATTTGAGCTGGTAGAGATCAAACATGAGAATATCTACAAGGCCAGTGAAGTGTCTACAGAATGAGGAGACTTAAGAAAGCTTGCATAGAGATGTTAATACAGCACAAAAGTAGAATATCTATCAAAATGCACTCTTTTCTGCTAGCAGTGTGAGGGTGACCTTTATTGTTGTCTCAGTCAGCAGCCAGCTTGATATTTCCCTACAGTCATTCAAATACAGTGCTGAAGTGCCGAGCACTTCAATTACTTGGCTGCTTCATGCCTACACAGTTGCAAGAGTCTTCATAAAATAGCCACTCAGTAATTCAACACACATAACCATTTTACTGCTTAAGATGAAAATTCACATTCTAAAAGGACAACTCATCTAAGGACGAATATTCCTCTTTCTTTCATTCTCTATCCCAAACAATAATAAATACCTATGCAAAAACAACCAAAGTAGCTCAAAAAAAAGTATTTTTGATTGAATCAAACTTTTTTTAAAACACGGGCCAAAGATGTTTCACTAGGATATCACTGTATAAAATCCAGACCTGGTCTACACATATGGGCCAATTTAACACTCTCCAGACTCCCAGATTAAGTTTTAGGTCAGACTAAAAAGAAATTACAACATTGAATCACTAATGATGCTTCAATTTAGTCAATGGATTTATGCTTACCTGGGAAACTAGCTCTATATGTCCAAAAGTTACTGTAAGCATTTGATCATATTCAGCCACAAATGCATTTGTGAGGTCAGATACTGATGCCGGATGATTAGTTCTAGATCACAACATCCACTTCAACTCATCCCAAAGATAGTTAGATAGAAGGTGCTCTATCACTCCAGAGAACAAGGCTTTATAACTCCTCTAGTTGACAGTTGCCATTGGTCATCATGACCTCAGGCTCATGTGCAGCTGCTTCAGAGCATCACATTCTACTGAAAATGCTTTCCTACGGAGATTATACAAGTGGTACATGCAAAACTAAACATCTGTGTCAGCACCAATTATACTGGGTGTCTGGATATTTTTGGACATACAGTGTATATTCCATTTCATATCTTTATCATAATCAATATAGTAAAAACCTTTACTTGGCTTCTGCTTCTTTATCACTGGTCTAAGTCTGTGCTGATTTGATTTTAGCCTTTAGTAGTGAGAAGCTCTTGGAATTCTGGAAGCAGATTAAACATCTTGATAGCAAAGCAGACGACACTGAGTGTCTTCTATGAAACAAAAGAATGAAGTAAAGAAAGTCTGTAAAACAATAACCAATTACTTCAAATAAACAGAATTCTTTACTCATAAGTTCATTCAAGCATTGTGTATATTTGGCAATGATGCCAGGGCCACCTATGAAAAAAATGTTTCGTGGTCCATCCTGTCAGTCTACAGATGTATTTGAAACTAATCCACAAGTCTTTGTTGTGAAAGCATAAGACACTTTACCAGATCAAAGCCATGTAGGACAGATTGTCCACAGGGTTGCAGAAGATATGGCCCTCCAGTGTGGGCCTCGGTTCCTTGATCCAAAGGAAGACAGTATCACTTGTACCCAAGCTCACCTGTGAAAACAATGGAGCTCAAATGATTTCACAACTACAACCAACTATTTTGTACTAAAACTTCATGATATGGGCAAAAGACTGTATTTCAATTACAGTGCTACATATTATGATGTGATATTCTTTGTGATACATAAAAAGAGAAAGTTATGAGTTCATGCTAGCACATGGCTGTAGCAGTACAGAAATCCATTACTAATAGTTTTCAACATTTTAATATGCATGAGCATAATAATGTGCTTTTAGCAATATTTACTTATTACCTCTTCACATCAAAACAGTGGCAAATGTCTTTTGCACGTATAATAAGTTTTACAAAAAATTTTGTATTGCTTTACAGGTTGGTAATAATATGGTAATTTTTTTTGGAACATGATGTACTTTCCAAAATATATTACGCTAATTTTCCAGCTGTTAATAAATAATAAGTTAGGATAAAGAAAGATAAACATGTTGTATAAAAGATGCATATGGTATGACGTAAGTTTTTTCCATCACTGAAATAATTTGAGTTTTTGCCAGATCTATGCTTTATAAAAGATCAATAGTGTTTTGTTAACAGGTAATACAAAAGGGATATTTGATGCTGCATTTTCCAGCCCTGATTCCATGTAATAGTCTGTTATGAATTTTTTCCATTTTTAGTAACAACTAGTTACCACTTTTTACTATCAACATATCATTTATTAACAACTAGAAAAGTTTCATGCAATTTTTAAATTTAGTTTAGTACTTACTAGCATTATTCATCTGTTTTATTACCAAATTGATGCCACCACAATTTCTAACTTATAATCAACTATAAAATTATTTTTAGGTTAGAATAACTTTTATCATTATTCTTCTATTTTATCACCAACTTACTTTTTAGTAACAACTTTAAAAACTAGCATCACCAACTTGGTACCACTACAATTATTAACTCACTATTTATTATCAACTAGAAAATTACTGTATTTTTTTTTAGGTTAGAATAACTTGCTACCATTATTTTTCTATTTTATGATCAACTTACTTTTACCCCAATCCAACTTCTTCCAACAACGTTTTTGCCGAAGTGTGGGAAAATGACCCAATCTAACTATGTGGAGGGAACTGCCAGATGAAGAATGCTAAAGTCAAAGAGTGCTTTGATCAAATGAAGGTCTTTAACACAAACTACATAAGCGCCATGGGTCTAAGAGTTTGATGCTACAAACACAAGGGTCTTCTGCTTGTGAGCTTGTGAATAACTTATGTGCTGCCTGTAATCCAGCTTCTACAATTTAGAACAACGAATGTTTTGATCACTCCCACTTCATGTGAAGGATGTGCACAATACATAAATGGATGAACTACATAATCAGTGTTGCACTTTATTGCTACTTAAAAGCTTATGAAATTAAGGGCTCCAATACTTGGTGGCTAATTTGGGCTGTTAAGAGTGATACCATAAAAGAACTGCTTTTGGTTCCCCAAAGAACCTTCCACTGTATAAAAGTTGTATTTAAAATATACTACACTTTACTCTACTGAACCAGTGGTTTTGAACCCTGATCCTGAAGCATCCCCACATATTCTGGTGTGTTTTATGTTCAACATACCTGATCCAACCTTAGGACCAGGACTAAGAGTCAGTAGTCTAAGTGAACCAGTGTTTTTGAACTCCAACCTTGGGGGCCCACTGCCCTGCAGTTTCAACTAGGGATGCATCAATATCGATACTGGTGTAGGGTACTGGGCCCATACCGCACTCATTTATTTGTTTACTTGTCACTCATCATTTAACACTTCTATACCTGCTGATACTGTGTGAGATAAGCTGAGTGTAGACTGCCTTAATGAACAAACGCAGTGAAGGAGGATCTGCTCACACAGTCGGACAGAAAGTCACTGGTCACTCTAGTTTTATTTGAATTGTTTGTAGACAGCTACCCGTAGAGGCTCAATTTCACGTAGCATGGACAAAATGTTTTTGTACAGCACGAGCCTATATATATCGTAGACACGATGGTCTATTCAAATGTTAAGTGTGAGTCACCAAAGAACAAGACTTCTAAATCCCATAGTGTAAATCTGCCTTTAGAAGATGTTCAACTACAGCTTAACAAGCCAAACAAAAGACTCTGAGAAGACAATAACTCCAAAAGCGAGCTCCTCAGATGTGTTAGCCTCTGATATGATTCCTGCTGACACTGAGCTACAGCGACTGTTGTTGAAAGACACAGATGAGGAGCAAAACCACAGCTGTACAGAAGCACTTTTCTGATGGGGAACTAGATCTGCTTTTCTCCACTGCAGCGCTACTCAATCTAAGCATTGAATAATATAGCATAGCTAGCTAATGCACTCCATTTAAAATCAGTTAGATTTCAATGATTTAACTGTTAAGGTACACTGTACTCATTTACACTAACGTCTACTTCGTTCTAAGTAGGTTACTCAGTATGCTATTGGTGACTACTAAAAACATGCACTTGTACTCAGTCTGAAAAAAATGCTATCCCAAAAAAAATGCATCCCAAGTTTTAACTATTGTTTGTCCCAACACGATCTGGACCAGCTGCACCAGTTTTGCATAACACGGAATTTAAATTCATGCGTGAAGTTTTCACGAAGTTAGTTAGCACACTAGTTTGTTTCAAACTACCTTTTTTAGTAAACTGAGTTGCACCATAAATCCTTTAGTCATGTCTTATTTCATTTACATTGAGCGTATGTCGCTTTAACATGACAACAACGTGTTCAGAATAAATCTATAAACCTGCGGCAATGGAAATGCAATGGCAGCTTGCACTGATCTTGCATTCCATGGAAAAGATTTTCAAAAGATAACGAGTGGACAAGTTTACATGTTAAAATCAACTTTGAATCAAAATGAACGCTTTTGTCTTGTTAGTTTATGTCCTTGGTAATATTAAGCATTTATTGACAGTAATCTTCCATCTGAACATAATGATTTTCACCTGCCTCTGAAACATTTTTGATTACATCAACAGCAGGTGGAAAAATATAAGATTAACAAAAAATATCACTCAGCACTCAAGAGCTCCGTTCGAGGTCCCAGTATCAGAATACCGGAATCACTGTTTGTTCTATTATCGACTCCATGATGTTTTGAGTGACTTGCAGACAGAAAATCCAGCGATGTATAAACAGGCAATGTGTTAAATGCTAATAAAGTCTTAATACGTAGGAATAAATAAAGTTTGTGTTGATGTTTGTAATCGATGTTCTGAGACACCTGAACCTGTGTGAGAGACATGATTTAGTCATTTAGATTTAGATTCTATTTATGCTAATCAAATCTTCCCATTTTTGTCTTCATCATTTTTCCACTTTGTTTGCACTGCCAGGTTGGCATGAAACCCTAAAGAAATGTTTAGCAATGCTTAATGTAGAAATCTGTTAATTTCCTTATGTCTGTTAAACCAGCCCTACGACAGGGTTAACAGGGGTTAGTTTGGCACTGTATGGGTTTTCATATCAACTCTAGTTTAAATAAAGACACTTTAAGCTTGTTACTTCCATGACTATTACACTCCTTACTTTGAACATCTCAGTTTTTCAGTAACTGGAAGTCTGTCCTTTATTATTGGAGCGTTAGCCTGTTAGCTGGTTAGCTATATAATAGAATACATTATCCAGGTATAAGGTGAATAATATAATGCGAAAACAAACTGGCAATTCTTTGTCTGGTTGGATTTTATGGGCACATATTTCAACAATTCCTGGGCTTCTTCAAGAAGTGATAGGAAGCAATATTTATGTGTCTTCTGAAGCGATGTGCTTTCTTGAGAGGATTGTGTTTGTAAAATTCCTGTTTTTGCTGCATTTTCAACTTCAGTTGGCTGTAGTGACCACTGCAAAACTACACAGTGTCCCAAAATCACTTCAAAGTCATTTAGTGGGACATAAAATGATAAGAAATCAGCATACTTTCTTTGACTTAGCTAAAACAGTGATGAACGACACTTAACCGTGTAAGTGTCTCCGTGTAAGTTCCTCAACCGGACATTTTTGTCTTGAAAAATAAAGCAGATACAGATAATAAGTTTATAGAAATGCAAATTTTATGATTCAACAGGACTGTATAACACAAAAGTTCTGCTTGTATATGCAGGTATGTGGTATTATACTTTGCTACTACAAAACAAAAATGTCTTAACATGAGCATGTTATTAAGGACGTGACTGAGAAGGCAGAGATAGCTCGGCTTTCATTGCTAAATAGGTTAGGTTCATGTTACGTCCAGAAATAGTTCAAATATAATTCTCTGACAAACTAACATGTTGGCACCTTGTCCACTGAAGAGGAAAAAAAAAAAAACTATAAAAGATGGTGTGGAGTCTCCATCAGCATCAAATGTTGTTAGCTGGTTAGCTCTAGTGTTAGCTCTGTAGCTCACCTGAAGCAGTCTCCACTACATTACTCATCCAACAACTGAGTACTACTTGCTCAGCTACTTTTGAATAATAAAACATGTCCTGAAATGTATTCCTCTGCATAATACTATTTTTTGTGCAACACCAGAGCGGTCGGCTAAAAGGTAAGCCACAGGTTTACATACATTTTAACAGAAATCCAGTTTTTTGTGGCGGTGTTACCCCTCTCTATGGTAGCCCAGATATCCATTCTTGAACTCTTAAGGATAGTCGAATATCAAAATTAGCTGGAATGCACATCCTTAAACTATATAAGGCTTTTCTTTCTGAGAAAATTAGCACATTCTTGCTCCATTAAAAAAAACACTCACCGCTATATCACCCTCCTGTAGGCGCATCCCAGCTAGCGATCCTGAAACGTGAAAATGAAATTATTTTACCCACTTATCTTACAACTGTCACAAGTAAAATGACTCATCTCCCAATTTGGCTGTTTTCCCAAACTGTCACACTCTATTATAAATGTTTTCATGCAGTTGCTAAGAGTAATCAATCTCATATACTATCTTGGCAACCATGGCGATACTGATAGACAAGCACTAAGAAGAGAAAAAATATATAATCATGTTTTCAAACAAACTCTTACTAAGAGAGAACTGTGGTGTGTGTATGTGTGTGTGTTAGATTTTACAGCTCCAACCACAAGTGCTGGCCTGGGGGGTGTCAACTGTCTACTGACATCTTTTACATGTTTTAATTTGGGTGGCAGAGGGCGGACTTGTTAATATTTAATCATAGCTAGTCATTGCCATTCTTGGTGGCCTTGCAGAAAAAAAGCTGAATAAATCTGCTCAAGCTTTGACATGTAACCACACACACACACACACACACACACACACACACACACACACACACACAAGCTTTTGTGAGGCTGAGACTTCTCAAGAAAAATGTTCCTACAAAAACCTTTCAATAGTTCAGGAGCGATGCTGCTGCCCATTCATTTTCAGTGCTTCCTTGCTGGTCTAAACTCATTTTAAAGTGTAATATGCTGCAGTGAATAATCAGCTGCTCTCGTCTCATGTCACCATTCTGTACTGTATAGCCATTGTACAAGGACACTTTAGCCACCACTCTGTACCAGCTCCAGCACAGGTGAGGCAACAGAATATTATATAGAGCAAAACTTTCCAGGAAATGCATTTTTCATGTATTTTGAGCAAGTTTAAAGAGACTTTTCTATGCACTTATTCCTTTTTTCCACTTGTTTTTCAGCAATAGTAAAACTATAGGGCTGTCACTATTGATTATATTAGTAATCAGCTGGCTGACTATTTATTTACAGTGCTGTGAAAAAGTATTTGCCCCTTTTGATTTCTTCTATTTTTGCATATTTGTCACACTCAATTGTCTTTGAATCGAATTAAACACAAAATACAGATTTTAAGAGAGCCTTTCATTTATTGCAAGAAAAAAGTGGCTCTGTATAAAACAATAAATAAAATAGTCACAACAAGGCCTCATTACTGCCAGCCCTGTTGAATCTAAACAGCATTTAAACAGAACCTTCCCGGCAACGTGAAACAGGACCACACAACACCGGCCTACCAAAATTTCTCCAAAAGCGCAGCTACGACTTGTCAAGGAAGTCACAAAGAACCCAGACAAACATCTAAGTAACTACAGGCCTTGCTTGCCTCAGTTCTTGATTCCATCATTAGAAAGAGACAGGGAAAAATGGTACCCACGGGATATCCATAGTATCCATAGAGAAAACTACTGTTAACCAAGAGGAGTAAAACATTTACCAACAGTGATGAACCCTAAGCATTTTGGAATAATGTTCTGTGAACTTTTAAGTCGACCTCAGAACTTTCTGGTCCTGTTATGTCTGCCGTAAAGCTAACACAGCATTCCACAATGAGAACATCACACCAACAGATAAACATGGTGGTAGTAGTGTGATGGTATGGGGATGCTTTGCTGTCTTTGGGCACGGGCAACTTGCCACAGTTCACAGTACTACAAATTCTGCTCTTCACCAGAAAATGCTGCAGAATGTCCTGTCATCAGTCCATGATCTGAAGCTCAAGCACAATAGGGCATGCAGCAAGACAAGGATCTGAAGCACCACAGCAAGTCTACCTCTCCATGGCTTAAAAGAAATAAATTAAAATTGAGGTTCTGGACCTTAAATAGGCAGCTCATGCTCAAAAGGCCTCTAATGTGGCTGAGCTAAAGCAACACTGGAAAGAAATGTGGACAAAATTCCATATCAATGTGATAAATTGATCTCCGGTAAAAGGAAGTGTTTCATGGCAGTTGTTGCTGCTAGAAATGGCACAACCAGTTATGAAGTTTAGAGGGCATTTACCTTTTCCACATGGGTGACATAAGTGTTGCAAAGCTTTATCAATAAAAGAAATGATCAATTAGAAACTATGTTTTGCATTTCCTCATGTTTTTTGTGTTATATTACATTTTGTATGAAGAACAGAAACCATTTGACATTTGATTTTGAGTTATCCATCCATCTATCTATCGTTTCATTATTTTGACAATAAATCAAATAATTTGAGTTTAAGAGCCAAAAAATAACATTTGACTTAAATGAACAATAACAAACTATGCGAAGTATTTCAAAGATTCTAAAATATTTTATTGATATATTATTGAAAAAATTAACTAATATAAATACATTAAAAATTGGTGAGTGAGGACAATAGAAGAATTTTACATATGCATTAACTTCACCACTCAAGTTGTCAATTAATCATTACCAGTTCATCAAGAAAGAAAAACAGATTGTGAGTAATCGTGACAGCTCTATAACACACTAAACAGTGTAACCTCATAGAAACAATAATACTATGCAGCCAGCAGCACTATCAAAATCTAGTCAGCTCTCTTGAAGGCTGGGCATCTCCCACCTTTTTATTGGTCATAAAGTCCATTTTATGCAGATCACCCTGCTGAGACTAGATGCCATTGGTTGGTTGGCGTCAGGGTCACGTTTATGTTCATGTCTGCCAGTGGTGGGCTGTAATTGAAAAATGTCACCCCACCCTAAGGGAGTAATGGGGGTAAGAGAGTCAGGCGCTTGGCCAGGAGCCAGCTTCTGTTCTCCTCTCTTCTCTCCATATTTCCTCCCTTTCTTCTCTCTCAGTCAGTGTGTGGTTTACATGCTGCTTGGAAAGAGGACGTGACCACTGCTTTTATTGGTATCCTCCAAGAGGAGGTGCCAGGGGAGGAGGGGGTCAATGAAATGAGTGCCGTTTTAGTGCCATCTACAGGCTACGAAGCCTCACTGGCAGGTATGGGCTTAAAAAAATGGCGCGGCAGAGATTTAAATGATTTGCCTACAAGGATAGCACAAGCAGCTCAAATCAGAAATGTATACCATTTCCAAGTTTCATAGCACTGAGCTATTATACAGCACTGCCTATTATTCAGCCATTTTCCACCATCATCATAACAGTTACATGGATATACATCAGAGCACCGTTATGGCCCATGCAGCACTGGCCATCTCTTTCCCTTAAAATGGACATCAAATACTTGGGCAAGAGGATGAAAAGTTAACATGCTTCTCTGCGGTAGTGTTGTTGGCCTTACCAGGGTTGTCTCCGGTGAAAGCAACCACTTTGCAATCTTCCGGAAACCCAAAGCGCTTAACAAAGTAGTGGGAAACAAAGCCCTGGTAGGGGAGATAAATAAAAACAAAACTATTAGAAAAAATGTATTAAAAAAAAACATAAAAAAAAATCACAGTTCTTTTCACATTCCACTATAACACAGAGCGTACGCTTCAATAACTTTCACTTACCGTTCAGGTTGTAAAATCAGCTGGAACTAGGGCTGGTCAACATGACAATTTGTTATTGTTACTATAATAAATTACCTCACAATAGTCTTTTCTGAGAATATTATGTGTATCATCAGTATTTCAACAACACTGAATAACATTACCATAAACAAAAGAAAGATTTAAACCAAGTATAGAGACCCTGAAAACAACAAAAACAATAATAGTTCATAGTAACTGTATAAACTACACAGCAAAAATAATCTATCTGAATATCAGCTCATTATGTCAATATTTTACTAATTTATTTTTACTACCTGTTTGATTTTGCCTCTTAAATGGGCTGTCTGCAAGTACTGAAGTAAAAAAGCATAGCATTCCTAATTTCTCAGAGCCTTTGTAACTCTTAACTCTTCTTAACTTCTCACAGTATCCAAAAAAATGCAATTTTCTCCTGTTTTGGAGGTCCATCACTTGAACTTTACACTTTTTTTCAATAATGTAGATAGAATACATTTTGATAAAAATGTGTATCATTTACAACATCAAAGACAAACTGGATTGTCTTCTTCGTATGTGAGAAAGCTAGTCATATTTATAAAAGTGTTTTTATAGAAATGATATTTTTTTTAAATGATATTTTTCATTGTTGCAGGTGTACAGGATTTGTTGATATGAAGAAAGCTGCAGTTGTGCTGCCCATTTTATCTCAGCACGGCTGCTGTTGTGGAGAGACGTGAGGAGCGGTTCTCACTTCTCCCCTTTCACTCCTCATTGCTCACTAGCAGCTCAACACTGAGCCATAACATTTCATACACACAGAGCTGACGGTGCTCTAGTTAATCTAATAACATAATTACATGGAAAAATATTCCTTTTGATTATATTAATTAAAAATGTCTAAGTAACTTTCCATTCCTCTGGTTGAACGGTCACTAGGTGGCCTGCAGAAAGAGGTTAAATGTGGCACTACTGCTTTACTAGCGCATCTGGTTTATGTCGACTTGTCTGCACAGTTCAGAAGAATTAAATGTTGTGAACTCATGAGTAATAGAAATGATTTCAAGTATCATGTAGTCATATTTTCCCACACATTGTCCAGTCTTAGCTAGAACATACATGGTAGTGTTCTCCTAATGTTCTCCTAAGCTGCTTTTGCACAGCTAATATCAGCACAACTTTACAAACTGGAGAAAAGAAAAAGCAAACAATCAAACACTACCAGAACCACTGTAGATGGTGTGGGGTCACTCAGCTTCTCTGCTAACTGAGGTGCTGTGGCTTTCAGACATGGTTCTGACCACTGTTTAGTGAAGATGTCCATTAAATTCATCCCTGAACCTAAAATGAAAGAATACATTTAAACAGTTAAGTGGAGGTTTCTGCTTGCAACAAACCTCAAACCTCTCAAGGAGAATAAAAATCTCTCAATGAACAGATCTGCCTGAACAAGAGCAAACAGGCCCATGATCAGGCATCAGTCAGAGACACAGCATGTGGCCTGGACGCTCTACAAGAAATAATTTGCATGTTAACAGAAGCAGTCTAAACACTGATAAATACTAAATAACATTGAAATAATGGTTCCAAAGCCATTGACACAAGCAGCACAGTCAGTGGTACATGTTGAATCTTTCTGACCATTCTTTTCAAACAGCTCCTGAAAGGAGGGAAAGAGCACAATTATCCTTATCATACAGAATTCCTAACTGACATAACACTTCTTCAGCAGTTCCACTCAGTCAGTACATCACACACTTTGACTTTTAAGTTAACAGAGAAAATCCGATATGGTTTCTGTAATCTAATCACGATGGTACTTAGTACGCGTGGCACTGTTTAATATTTCTCCAACTCGCAAATAAAAATACAACTTCCTTTTGTCATGTCAACCTAGCCTTATCTTTTTAAGCAATTTAACTACTGATAACAAAATATGATGACCTAGAAAACCAAAGAAACCTTATATTCTCTACAAAAGAGCAGTTTTTGACCTTGCAGGAAAACAAACTATATGGAAAAAACTAAAAATTAACTCGATATTCAAAAATATCAAAAAAAAAAAACTAAAAAGCTAACTATCATAATTACAGTAACACAAAGCATTGGTTGCCTTACCATCGCTGTAGTCAATTGCTGCATAGTTGCCAAGGAAGAGAGATGCAGCAAAGCTACTGACCAATGAGATTCTCTAATGAAAACAAACATCAAAAAAGCAAAAATGTCAAATAATGCTTGGTGTACATTTAAAGAGTCCATATTCTACATTTTTCTTTCATAATTAGTTTTTACACAACCATTTTCCATCCTCTCTTTACCGCTTAGAATGAAACTAACAGTAACTTACCGTGCTTTTAAGAGTGATGTATGTAAATGAGCTCTGGTCTGTTTGGCTGCTCTGTATTGTGTCTCATTCCAAAAGCAGTCCAGGATGTAATACTTTGACTTTAGTGTGACTGAGTGGGGCTAAACTGCTATAGGCCAAACATGTGGATATATTTAAATGTGTTGGCTTTCATGACATCACAAAAACTGCTTTTGGTACATTGTGAAACTTTAGCAATGTTTACACAGCAACTCAAACTCAAAAAAGCAAGGAAAATAAGATTTTCCACAATATGGGACCTTTAATATATTCTATTTGTAAAATGTCTTGTTTACTGTCTAGTACGAACTAATTTAAGCATGAAATGATTTGTGCCTATTGAATTTGCTGATACTGATTTTGCACATTTACCTCTGTTTCATTGTATTTATCTGGCTGGAACTGATGGATCTTGGCAATTTGGTTTCCAGTGAAACGCTGAAAAGTATGAAAAAAGGACATTAAAATGTGTTTATAAAAAATTAAAGACATTTTATACATACTGATGAACAAGAAGAAGCCACGGTAAGATCACACTATTGAACCGTCATATCAAGGGTTAATATTTTCTCCAAAGGGCAGTGTCCGTGCTAATGACATCTGCTGGTTACGTAAACCAGTGAAATATCAAACACACCAAGTCTGCTCAAGATTACGTCACAACATATATGATCCTGAATGTGTGATTGGTACGAAGGGCCCATGTGCTCCAAAATGTAGCAGACTGTGTCATCTGTACACACCTCATAGGCTCGTGACCCAGTGATGTCAGCAAGCTGTTGAGCACCCCCTACTGCAGACTCGAGGTACTGACACTGCTCTGCAGTACTGGAATCCATCCACACTGGACTGTCTTGGACAGCAAAATTACCCTATGGAAAGAAACATGCTAGCTAATCCAGCTCAGAAGGTCACTGAAGGTCACCAGAGAAAGATATCAAAATGTACAGAGCATGAGCAGTCAGCCTTTAACAAGCTGTATGAACCGTACTGTCGCCATCATTACATTGTATGTTTAATATTTATAAGAAAATGAAAAATTCTTGATTTTAGTGTATAGTGCAACAGTCAGAGACCACCCTTCATTTATTAAATTTCCAGTCAAACCAGCCATTAACTACAGCATCAGGAAAAAAAGCAGAAAACATATATTTACCAGATAATTACACAGAGGCCTCAACAACTAAACAGGGTTAATGTAGTTAATTATAACTATGGCTAAAATAAAAACTAGCAGTGAAAAGATGTGCTTGTTAACTGTAATAAGAATAAACACTACAGTTTTCAAAAACACGAAACTGGACTAAAATGATTACTTTTCAGAAAATAAAAACAAAACTAAAACTATTAAAGTCCCCTTAAGACTGACTGAAACTAAAATGAAATAAAAAAAACAAAATATGAAACTAAATAAAAAACTATTGAAAAACCTTTAATAACACATGCACCAAAATATAAAAATCAAACTTGTCAGTATTTAATGTGTCAACCCCTTCACCTTTATTACAGCTTCCATTATTTTCAGAAGACTTGCTTTCAGTTTTTCAAAAAAATCTGCAGGGATATTTTTTTAGGTCTTCTAACCAGTTTTTGGACTCCAGCATTAAAATCTCCTTTCTAGATTTCACTAATTTTCCTGACTTTCCCTTTCTTTACGCAAAGTGGATTATCTTATATCTAATCTCTTCAAAAATATCATGAACAAATATCCTGAAACTTGAAAAAAGGGTGGTGTCTGGCTTTTTCACAGTACTATACAATAATGTTATGAGTCATTTTGGATCACTTCTATTGGTCCATACTTAACAAAGTGTTCACAAAATGTAATACTGTAAATAGCAGTAATGCAATGCACCATGTTTTTATGGACTTCAGAAACACACTATGTTTTCTCAAAGCATAAAATTAACATAGACTAAAACTTTCTCCTATTGCTTGTACTTCTCTCTCCAGCAGCCTTGGCCAGTGCTCCCATATTCAATAATAGGTGAAGAAATCCCTCCAGCTTTTAACAGAGTAATCAATAGCATTTAAAAGCAGGATTACTGGATTAATACTAAATTCTCTATTCCAGTCCAGGTCATGCCCTCTCCTCTCACTCACCCATGTGAAACATGTTCAAGCCTCACATGGTGCTGCTTTAAATATTAACATTGACATTCACTGTTTTGCAAAAGTATTAAGCAGGCCCAACAGGACTTATGTCTCTGATGAACCTTGAACTCTTTGAAAGAAAAAGTCATGCAACGGGAAGTCGGGTTAAACATGCCCAGTGGAGCTATTGATCAAAACGACCACTACCTGAAGCAGGCTGTGCAAATCTCTCCCTGGATCAAGATGCTGCAGAGCCTGTCTTGCTCCTTTTTTCCAGTACACACTGCCATGTTGCTGCAGAGAATGGATCAAATGAATGAGCCTTAACAGAGAAATTAATATCTTATTTTGAATACATTTCAATGCATAAATCAATCGCAACTGACCTGCCCGCTCCCTGAAACTGCCTTAACATGAGAGAAGTCAAAGCCGGCATTCTTCATCTTCTCAAGGATGAGGTCAAGTGCCTGGGGTCACAATCCTTCACTCAGTAACAAGGTTCACAGTAAATCATTGTTCATCATTTAGCTTTGCACAAAATACAGAATAACTGGCATAGAAATTAAACGAAAGGGAAAGGGAGAGGACATCACTTCAAAACAGGTGAAGCACAAGCTACAGTGCACGTACATGACTGGACGTATTGTTCTGAATAAAAGGCCCTCATTTTATATTTTCTTGTATTTTCTTTTTCCACTTACAGGTGATTCTATAAATGGCATGCCATTTAGCCCTTGTACCTTTTTTAAAATTGAATCTTGCAGTTAAACTAGCATCCATGCTACAGGCACATGTATATGTTAGTTTAATGTTTAGCCATCGTGATGTGTTTTACTGCAGAGTCATTATTTACAGATTAAAAAGTGGATGCAATTTCTTAACACGCTGAAACTTTTGCTAATTTTTTTTAACTCTTCTGTGAAAAAAGTTTGGGGGGGTTGGTTGGCAAGTGGAGAACAGGATGGAGACAAAAGAAGTACATACATGGGCATGGAAAAGTTTGGGCACCCCTGGTCAACACTTCTGTTACTGTGAACAGTTAAGTAAGTAGAAGATCAACTGATCTCCAAAAGGCAAAAAGTTAAAGAGGAAACAGCCATTTCAACATTTTAAGCAAGATTAGTGTATTATTTTTGTTTTGTACAGTTTGAATGACAAAAAGAAAAGGAGCACAATGCAACAGTTTGGGCACCCCAAGAGTTGTGGGCTCTCAAATAACTTTTACCAAGGTCTCGGACCTTAATTAGTTTGTTAGCGGCATAGCTTGTTCGAATTGTCGTTAGGAAAGGCCAAATTTCAAGGCTTTATAAATACTCTGACTCCTCAAATCTTGTCCCAACAATCAGCAGCTCTGGGCTCCTCTATGCAGCTGCCTAGCACTCTGAAAAATAAATTGACTGACACCCAAAAAGCAAGAGAGAGCTACAGCAAAGCGTATCTGTGTAGCTGTTTCCTCAGTTTGTAAAGTAATTAAGAAACTGAAGGTTAACAGAAACAGTGGAGGTCAAGTTAAGTGTGGAACACCAAGAAAACTTTCCAAAAGAACTGCTTGTACAACTGTTAGAAAGGCGTATCAAAACCCATGTTTGACTGCATGCAAAAGACCGTCAGGCAGATTTAGCAGACTCTGGAGCTCTACCTGCACAAACATGACCTTCATTGAAGAGTCATCAGAAAACCTTTATGGCTTCTGGAAATCAGGCCATCTTTTACTCTCTGTAGCTGGGTTTGTAAAAGAGCTGTCAGAAATCACTTAATATATCTGTAAATTACAGTTTAAAACTCTAATAAAAAAACAAAATGGACTGTACTGTTTAGTTACAGCCAGTAATGATAAAAATAAATAAGCGCTAGCCTTTCCTGGAATTGTTTTCAACACTTCTTTACTGTACTATGACTGTTAACTCATGCAGTTACAGTTATTAATAGTTCTTCCATCTTCTACTTATCATCATACTTATCATTATTGAGGTATTTTGCTCAAATATTTATAGCAACATGCAGATCAGATCTATACTGAATATATGTGATATTATTATTCCTGTTAATATTTTTCTATTTTAATACAGACATGTAAAGCATGAGCTATCAATCTGATAAATGTATTTATAGGCATGCTTTGTTTTCACAGTTTTACATCTGAACTGCTCAGATCAAATCTGCAACCCTACACTAAGTAATGGTGGGGAAGTTACCACTTTTCTTTTAGCAAGTGCAACTCAAACACACAGCCCATTCGGCTAAAAAGAGCTGAACACTGACTCTCAGCTGAAACTGTAACTGGTGCTGTGCATGTGGTGGAATTGTGGCTCTCCTTCAAATCAGATATACTGCTACTGTAAAATACCTGTGGCATTAAATAAGGAAAATATCAGTATCTATCCATAGGTTTGTCCAAATTTATCGATTTTTCAAAATATTTCATTTGAAGTATGTATTTGAAATATACTACCAATTTAAATTGGCTTATGTTTTCTCTTTGTGGTCTGTACCTTACAGCTTCCTTGTACTAAAGGCTCCCTGTAGGGACTCACTGAGCTGAAAGAACTGAAAACCAAATCATGAGCCGAACCTCATCATTTGACTCTACACATCTTACTTACTAGGTCAAACCACCGATTTCTGCCACTTTAGGCTGAAAATGATCTTAAACTCAAGAGAGCCGATTTCATAGAGCTCTGCAAACGTATGAAGACTGATAACAGAAATATATATAGACGTGAAATAAGCATATACAATATTCCAGTCATTTCATTAACTTTCCAATTTACTTGCACTGAAGCGTAGAGTGTAGGGGTTTCATTTTTACAGGGAGTCCTAAAACAATTTGAAATTAATAGGCCAAGTGGTCAGGTCCAGCTCTCTTTTTTCTGCTATCTCCTTTTTTCCCCTGTAATTTCCTGTTGGCCCATAGCCTGGGCCATCACAAGTGATAATGAGTAACCCCAGCTCAGGCCGTTTGTTTTGGGGGGGCCAGGAAACCCTTATTTTGGGACATGTTTCAGGCAAATTGATGGCAAATACTGAGCTACTATAGTCCTAGAAGCATGAAATTTGGCAGAAAGTGTCCTGAAAGAAAGATAGAAAAATAAAAATAAGGGGCTTACTACCATTCATTTTTAAAACACCATTTAGAAAATACCCAAAAAGACAAAAAAAAACCCTGACCTCTCAATAAGTTCTTATAAAAAATGGATACTGATTAGGACTCTAGGTTGAATAAAATTTCCAAGTTTATAAGCTCAAACTTTCCTGAAAATTAAGCTTGCTTGTAGAGAAAGTGCCATAATAACACCAATAATTCAAATAAAGCTACATACTGCAATACTAAATAATACTACAAAATAAAAAATATAAAATATAAGTGCAAAAATCACTATTATACAATGGCAAAAAATAACTGACCCCAAAAAGGTTATGGGGGGATAAATCCCAGGATTGTAGTCTTCCAAATGCAATTTCAGAATCAGTCAGAGAACAGCAGTGAATGTACTGAGATTAGACTGAGGTTTTTATAGTAATCCTTTAGAAATTCCTGTAGTATCTGTTACTCCAGTGACCAAAGACGAGAAATCATTCAGATGAGGGGCAGATGACAGAATTCAGCAGATGAGAAAATGACTGTGAATAAAAAGAAATATGAGAGTGGGAGGAAGAGGACAGCGGAAAGACTCACTGAATACAAACTGAGAGGCAGCAGGATGGCAGGTGCGAGGGAGGAGAAAAATTACTGTTTAAATATCTCCTAACACAAATGATATCTGTCCACAAGAAATGTATTAACTGAATGATTAACTGAAGGTAACTGAATTAAAACTGTCCACCAAATGAAACGGCTTTCTCTCAAAATAAGGCAAGCTGGTTGAACCAATATAATTTACTAAAATTGGCTAAACTTAATTTCTGACTCAACTCGTTACAGTTCAGTGAATTTATTAGTGTTCATTTAACTTATGTTGGTCCAACTGATCTTCCTAAGGCTGGTTTAAAAGTGGTTACATTCAGTTTAGAAGAACCAAACTCAGCAACAGAGAATATGGTAACGCGCTCTAACAACCAATAATAATGTGGCAAGAAGATTAACTAAGATATATAATGTATGCTAGACCCAAAGAAAGGTGGCCTAGAGGAAGTGAGACATCTCAGAGATAGTAAGTAAAACAAGAGTTCTAAAAAACTTAAACTTAAAAAATTGATGCAACTTTTCAACTTAAAAAAGTAATGGTTAAAATGTTCGTTCATTGAGTCCATAAATACGAAACTACAAATTATTATTCTGTTAACCTAATAAAAGTTCAATAACTCAAAATTTGAAGTTAACCAATATGCAAATAGACGAAGCTAGGAGCCAATAAAATCTTGTCTCCTGCGCCAGTCAGTCCAGCTGCTACAGAAACAGACTAAACTAAATTTCACTATGTTAATTCAAGTCAAAGATCCCATCTGAACACATTTTAGGTACAACAGACTTAATTTGTTTGGCTATGCATCTCATGAAACCAGGTGGAAATCCCATTAGACTTTGAAAAACACAATTCGTTCTCTTTTATTTGACTTTGGCTGATTTATCGCTCAGGCTAATCATGTTTCTTCCATGCTAATACATTAAGAACATTTTAAAAATGGGTCAAGACTCAGCTGTGTGTTTTCTGAGTGCACTGATCATTACCACAGTTCTTTTCCATGACGGACGAGAGAGAACATCATATAAAAACAGGATCAGTAAAATGAACGCACTTTTCATCGCTTCTTAAGGTGCTAAAACTAAGGGTGTGTTTCCACCTAGTGTCTGATAGAGGAAGTGCACATGATTTCTGTTGACAAATTAAGTTTAACTTGGTTCTTACTTCTTTGTACTCGGCACTTAATTTTGTATTTCACTACTTTGTTTACAACTTTATGCTTTATTTACTACTTTACTAAAATCTTTATTTGCTACTTTAAGTTGGGCACAGAATTAACTCCATATAAAGGCATGTACTACAGCTGTACCCACACTGTGCTGAGTGTAACTGGAGCTGCGCATTCAAGTTACTTTATACATGGAACGGTAGTTTACGCACAATTACGTCAACCAATGAAGTTTATAAATAGGCCGTGGAATTTTCACAGTCACGCGCACAGCAGCACAGTGGATGGTCATGTGATCAAGTGATTGTGTTGATGTGCAAATTCTTAAAAAAAAAAAGTAACAAAAATTCATTCAAGACTAAATCTATCTATAAATCTACAGATCGACTAAATGACTAAACCAAACAGAGGGGAGATGATGAAATACTAACTGGATACGGACCAGAAAGCATCCCAGAACCTGAAGGAGCGCCTCTACCAGTTCTTGACTAAACAGGTCGAGCTGCTGGAGAGTGTTAGAAAGCAGAACAAAGGGCTGTGGAAGCACCAGGTGAAGCGGCTGTTGTCGTGCATCCTATCACAGCAGCGCTGAGGAAGAAAGAGCAAGAGACGCAGGGGGCCGGAGTGGAACCTGGAACAGGTGGCCAGAGAAAACGCACAGGTAGGAAGCTCGCTGAGAAAGAGTAAACAGGCCGCATAACACACAGGTGATTTGCTAGAAAGGTAAGGAAGGCTTTTTGCAGGCTGGAAAAAAAAAGTGCAAAGAAGATGACACCGAGCTGAGGAACAGTACCGGAGTAATGAAGCAATTCCACTACTCTGAAGACACGAATTGGCAGCTCAGAATCCAGCTGCTGATGAAGGAAGAAGAGCTAGAGAGGCAGAGACAGAACTGGAGGGCAGCACAGGAAAGACTACAGAAAACAGGTCAGATGAGCTCCACTTGAAAAACAAAACTGGTTGACAGATACCTAGAGAGAGAAAAGGAAGAGGAAGAGGAGTGAAAGAAGAATGAAGCATGTCAAAGTGAGAGCTCTCTGATGAAAAAAGAAAAGGAGCATCTGAAGAAGGCAGAAAAGCAAAAGAACACCAAAAAGAGATGCTTCTGGTGACGATGTCTGTGCTGCTGAAAAAAGCCTTTCCAACAACAACACTCCAGTTTCCCTTGATATGCGTTCTAAAAGTATTAGACCTTTAATAAAACACCACAACTACTACGAATAATAATAATAATAATAATAATAATAATATTTCTAGTGCACTGTAAATGAAAATGTGTTTTAACTTAAAAAAGTAGGTAATTGTGCTGCCTTAACATTTTAAAATTACTGAACTTCAAATAAGTAGGCAGAACAATTACTAACCAAGTTCATTTTTTTAAACAATAAAGGCCTTTGATGAACACAAAAATAATTTACAACACAAGTAGTAAAACAGCATACATAAAAACAATAGGAGACACATACATACGTAATACATACATACATACATTTATAGATAATGTTAATGCATTTTTGACTATTGTGAAGTTAAATGTGATCATTAATGGGAACAATGTCTTTCATAATCTGAATGTCTTAAAACACTGTTAAAAACATTTTACAGGTATTTATAGATGAAACGGTAGTGAAGCTTGGTAATGCTTTCTTTTCAGTTCCTTAAGCTCCAAGTACTAAAATCTTTGGGTAACATGATGGTGAGATCTAGGACAGTCTGACTAAATTACACTGAAATTTCTAACAACAGTTACAGAAAAACAAGTACTAACTCTTGCCTGTCTTGGTATTAATTAATATAATTGTTAAATGTGCATTGCTTTATGAATGCTTTGCTTGTATACTCCGTTTGCATTTTTTTGCTCTATATGCCATTTTACATTTGACCAGGAAGAATAGATGAAAATTAGCCTCTCTGTCAACCTCTGGGTCATTTACAGTTCTACCACGAAAACAGATGATACACTACCTTCAACCACATGCACACCGGGGAGGTTACAGTCAATCTGTCCTCGTGGATGTGCACTCCTCCCTGAGTCCTGTTGAAAGACAGAAGTTACAAATTCAAGTTTCTAAGGCAAATAAAAATTATAAAACACGTGTGTGTGAAGTGATCTAGAAGGAAAATGTGAGGCTTACCTGAACTCTGGCAGATCACTGTCAAACTGGACATTGTTCTGGTGAGTAACTTGAAGGTTTCCATCAATAGCAACTACTTTCAGCTTACAAACAAAAGAAATGAAAGGGCCATGTTTACACTCCTAAAATCAATAAGCTACATATCTATCATTTTCTATCAGTCCAGAGATTATATTACTACTCTGGAAACATGTATTCAGGGAAAGCAATGCAGCATTAGTGCATGTTCATGAAGATCTGCAGTGATTCACTGATCTCACAGCCTACACAAGATCTGTGTTACTCAGATGCGTTTCGTAACAAGGAGGGTACACTGATGAAGATTTTAGACTGCACACATTTGATCACATTTTTAATTTATGGAAATTTGTCTTGTGTATGATGTAAATGTCTGCTGTGTACTGGTAACCGTATCCTGCAATTACACTATTAGGTTTGAACACATTTGAGTCTGAAGGTGACAGTTCTCATAGATCCAACCAAAGATGTGCTTGAGCTCATAGAATTCAAATTTGCATGTTCTATTGGTGGGCCTATAGTGAACTTCTATAACGTTCAGATCACTGATGAGTGATATCTGTCAGACAGTCAAGTCTGGCACCCACATCTGGACAGTTATGACTGCAGCCACTAGGCCAGAGTTATAACTGATGGACTGCGGGGTGCCAGTGCTTTCCATTTTTCAGATGTGTGTGCACTTTGAGCACCCATGGAAATGTGTTTGTTTTTTGTTTGGAAAATAAACAAAATTCATCTTGATTAACGTGTGACTGCATTGCATCCACATCATAACAGTTTGTGCTTGTTTTAAAACATCTGAGGATTTTTTTGAGTAAGATTTGAATCAAGATTCCTAATCTTTTTCTTTCAAGCCAAACCAAGCTATAATGCAAAACAGACACTGTCCTACACATTTAAGTGTAAACACTACATCTATACATTCATCTAATGTTTACATCTGGGGTCGATATATTTGAATATTCGAGCCAGCACTAGCTCTGCGGTAAGACCCCCACCCCCCCAAGCCCCCACCAGTCAGAGGCCTGTGGGCACAGGCCCAATGGCCAGGTTAGTAACCTAACCCTGCTGCATAAAAGCCATTATCTGCCACATTTATGTTGTTGCCTTTGGTGACATTCAGCACCCTCTGCTTCACCAAGTCATACTGAATTCAACAATTTTTTTTGTTGAAACACGTAAGAGGTCATCTCTGCAGGCCTATTAGCCCAAACAGCAGCTAACACGGGGGTCAGTGGACTGTCACCCCATCCAGAGTGTGCCCAAAAGAATCCAGACACCTTCTAAGTAGTGAATTCATCTCTTTTAAGGTGCACTAATGACTTACACAGGTACTCAATTACATATAGTCTGTGTAATCTCCACAGAAAAAGCACAGCCAATAGAATGGGTCACTCTGGTGCAGCTGTACATGAGCCTAAGATCACCATGTCCAATGTCAAGTGTCAACTACAGGGGGCATAAAGCTCCCAGGATTGGGCTTTCGAGCAGTGGAACAGTGTTCTCTGTAGTGATAGAGCTCCATCCAACAGTTTTGGGGATGAGTCTGTGATCCAGAACTAATCATCCAACATCAGTACCTGACCTCACTAAAACTCTCACAGCAATGTTCTAACATCTGGTGTAAAGCCTTCCCAGAAGAGTAGAAGCTGTTGCTGCAGCAAAGGAGGACAAACTCTGTATTGATACTTTCAGACTAACACTTTACGTAAGAGGAGCAGGTGTACAAACTTTAGCACATATAGTGTATCTCCAGGTTCAGTTATGCTAGCAGTTCAGAGGAGGTGGGAGTAATGGGTTAAACTTGCTAGTAGGGGGTTTGTTTTTGGTCGTATGTTTGAATGGTCGATGACCTTTTCATTTACGAAATCTCTGCACGATTAGATACAGTCTACACTTGTAACCACAGCAATACACTGTATAGTTTATACGAAAGAGGAGCAAAGCTACCTCGCAGTGTTCCAGATAGCTCCACATTACCCACTGTGACTTTTCTTCATTTAAACCGAGTGCCTCGCTCGTCTTCCGCTCTTGCCGCTCACGCACGCCTGCTGCACACGCGCATTTGAGAGAATGTGCTGGAAAATAAAAGACTAAAGTCTCCGGTTTGTCCTACCTGCTGGGTGCTGAAGTCAAAGCCTAAGTAGCAAGAGTCTGTCTGTGCAGCCATTCGGTGCCGTGTTTTCTCGCAGGACAGTGAACGTCTACTCACACGCAGCTCTCCTGCATTTAAAGAGACAGTACACAGAAAATCTGATATCGCTGAGCAAGCCTTCTTAAACTTTAACCAGAGACTCACTGCATAAAAGGGGAACTCCTCCGATGTTTCAAAAATCCTACATAATTAAATGGTTAAGATGCAAACAAAGTCACTCAGAGCAGTTTGATGTGAAATGCTGTGTTCTAGAGAAACTTGCTGTCTGAGAATTGTTCACAGTTGTAGTGATGGGAACCAGACGTCTACAGAGTTTAATGCCTCTAAAAACTCCCTCACAGAAAGTTATTACATGAAGTGGTTACATGCTGTCTGATGTCTAATGTCTGTGTTTTTTGGATAGTTTTGTGATCAAGTTTTGGCTTAAAATGTATTTTAATTCATTTGTTTTAATCTATTAATGGCAGAGGGATACATGCAGGGTGTTGTAAGGCAAAATAGCCCTCAGCCCCCCCAAAAACAAAATCAGATTTATGACTATTTTACCATCATCAACATTACATATAAAACTTAGAAGACACATGTACGCTGGTGGTTTTGATAGTAAACAAAATGGCTGTATTTGTGTTGTAGGCATGGTGACCCACTGTAAAGAAATAAGAGGCTGTAAGTTTCTCCATAATGAACCATTCCACAACAAACCATTCCGAAGGACCCTGTTTACATCTCAAGGATTTACTTATTCAGAAATTTTGAAAAATTGTTGGAATTCCCCTTTAAGCATCCAAATGACTTGTGTAGTGCTACTCTTTTGGTCTTTCTTCTTCATCTTTCTTTCTCTTTCAGCTTCATCATCTAATGCAACCCTCATGTTCTTCGTCTTTCAGCAGCAGGAAACCCACAGAGTGTCTAAAACAATTCATGGAAGTACCAGCGGGAGTGTTTTACAGATAACCCCAATATTAAGATACCAAACTAACTTACTTTTACCTTAAAGGGCCCATATCATGGAAAACTGAATATTCCTTTTAGACATAGAAGAGTTTGATGTAAACAAACTACACTGTTAAAGTTAACATAATGTTCACTTACCAGTCCATACTGTCCATATATGTAAACTAAGCTGCAAAAACAGCTCATGTTTGAACTCATTGTGTTCATTTTTATTAATTTTGTGATGTCACCACAACCAACTCATTTACATATATCTGCCTATTGAGCCTACAGCAGTTTAGCCCCTCCCATTCACACTGGAGTTATAAGGAGTGTTTTAGCCTGGAGTGCATTTTATTATGATGTTGTTTACAAATGTCAGTCTTAAAGGCACAGTAACAAAACAGTCTGTTTAATTGTAATGGATAAACAGTGATCTTTTAAAAAATGAATTATGAATTATGATTTTGGTAAATAAACCCACAGACATATGTTACAAGTTGACATCTATGGAAAAAAATAACATACAAGAAAAATGTGGGATATGCTGGCAGAAGACAATCACTCAAAAATCCTTGAAAATCCTAATGACTTACATAACTACTACATTGCAATAATGAAGTTCCTTATTCTGTTATTTTCCATTAGATAACAATGAACCCACAGTTCATAACACACTGGAGGTGTTTCAAGTCTACAAAGAATAATAGTAATAGATAGAACACTTTAATAATAATAATAATAATAATAACAATAATAATAATAATAATAATAATAATAATAATAAATAGATAGACAGACACAGATAGACAGACAGACAGATGGATAGATAGATAGATAGATAGATAGATAGATAGATAGATAGATAGATAGATAGATAGTAAAACAAAACTCTTGGCTTAACCTTGTTTTAAAGGAAAGGTACACCAAATATTCAAAATTTCATCAAAATGTTCTAACCTCATATATACATGATTGATGGTGAAGTTCATATTTGCCTTTACAGTTTCCCACATGCTTTTTTATTTAGTTTATGCTAAATGGGCGTTATGGGGTGTGGATTGGCTTCATTCACCTCCATTATGTCATTATGTTAACAGTGTTTAACTCATGAGGCTCCAGAAACATTTTACCACCATTATGGTGACAGTTAAGTAAATATATTTGAATTACAAAAACCTCACCTTTAATGACTGTCAAGGCAAGACTCACCCATTATTTCAACAGCGCTGTGTCAACACTGTCACTCTAAAACCCACTACGGGTGATTTAGTTTGAGGCTTTGATGCAATCCAATGACTAACTAAACTGATATAAACTAAATCATATATATTTTTAAATGAGAATGCAGATTAAGGCTTGTTCCCACTGCGGCACCCAGAGTGTCCTATAAATAATGGGGTTGATTAGTCTTCTTAATTAGGTCTGATGAAATACAGGCTTTCCAAACAAACCAATCTTTAACTAATGCTTGAGCGTGTTATGTTTTGTGCTGTATTGCAGTGTAATATTAGTTCCCATGTTGTCCTCCACTTGTGATACTAACCCCCTTCTGTAGATTGTCCCTAGATTACCAAGATTATAGTGCAACCTTGAATTGCCCTCCTTTATTTGCACATAGTCTCAACTGTGTTGGGACCATTGTGCCCAAAGTATACAGCCACTGTAGACTACACTCAGCACAGCTGTGCAATAAGGGGGACATTTATGACAGAGGATCAATAAAGCGGGTAAAATAAAAATCCATGCAAGCAGGATGTCGTCAGGCTGCTGCTCCAGCTCAGTGTGTCTATGTGAGGAATCGGTGATAAGATCCGGAGCAGCGGAGGAGGAAACGAGCGACGACGAGGCTCCAAACACCGACATGGATATCGCACTTCTGAAACAGCAGTATAACTCCATCAAGGACAAGCAGAAACGGGAGACCCGAGTGATATACTTTAAAAAAGGTAAGAACTACGAGTTTACTTTCAGAAAGGAAAGAACTTCTCGGCGTGGACGAGCCTGTTAGCACTTCAGTTGTAGAAAGAAGCTGAGGTTAGCTTCTTATTCCAATTTTCCGTTCCACCTTAAATGGTGCAGCAGTTACATCCTGGTGTGGGCACGAGCGCCAGGATGTAACTGCTGTACCGTTTAAGGTGGAGCGGAAAGTTTCAATAAGAAGCTGGCTAAAAGGAAAGCGCTGGTTTCTTCGGTTTGCTGCTCGAGTCCTAAATAGTCAGATATTTAACTCGATATTTATTTTAATCATTTTTCAGGTTTATACGCTGAAATACACTTCATAGGCGGCATTTGTGGAGCTTAATGTGGTTTAAAGTATAAATCTAGCTACTTTTACCTTTACCTCATCCTACAGGTGTAGCAGGTGTAGCTAATGTTTTCACACACGGATTTTATCGACGTTATCTGTATTCGGTCTTACTTTTTTTCAGTTAACACACTAACTGTTAGAAGTTTTGTTCATAGAAATAAAAACCTGGTCTCCTGTTGCTTGTTTGCTCATGTTGCGTGAGATGTGTGCGTGGCGTTAAAAGGCTTTCATAAGGAGTCTTCATGAGTCATTGCTGCTCGGTGTACATTATTTCACAGGCGCTTGGGTTTCACTTCATCACTTGTCAGTTAGGATTTTCCTGCAGGCTAGTTAATGTTTGCGCTGGCCTGGATAAAACATTTATAACATTTGTTAAATAGTTAAAATTAGCTTTAATTAGCCTGATATCTTCTACTTGTCGCATAGGGTGCAAGTACTTAGAAATACACTGCATGTCCAAAAGTTTATAGGCACCTGTTGATCCAGTGTTTCTTCTGAAATCCAGGGTATTAAAGGGGAGTTTGTTACGCTTTCTCGCGGTGACAGCCAGGGCTGCTCAATTAGGGCAGAAATCATAATGACGATTATTTTGGTCAATATTGAGATGACGATTATTTAATACGATTACTCTGGACTTTGGAAACATCATGCATTTATTGAACTTGTTAAAAAAAAACAACAACTTGTCTTTAACAGTCGACTTGAACTTTAAATATAATTTAACTGAAAAACATATAAAGTAAAATATATATATATATATATATTTAAATAAACAATATACAAAATAAATACAATAAAAATAAGTAAGATCAACTATGTTGTAGTGCACTTCCACAACCTACTGAAAAAAAAAAAAAATCAGTAATCATTTTATCTTGTTTATCTTGTTTTCGTAATTGTTAGAAGACAACATTTTATTTGAAAATAACATTTGATAAATTGTCCAGCCTTAGTAACAACATCTTTTCCTGGAAGACTTTATACTTTATAACCCTCTAGCTGAAGCCTGTTATTGATCATGGTGACCTTAGGCTCATGTGCGGCTGATCCAGAGTGTCCCAGTCTATTAACAGTGCTTCACTATGGAGATCATACAAGCTGTGTGCACAGTTAAACACCTGTAATAGTATTGGGTGCATCCAGTCAATCTATAGAAGGGCATGTTGTCACTGTGTAAGACCCATAAACTATTGTTTTTTTAGACCTAGCTATTGTTTGTATAATGTGCAAGTTTTAATGGAAACATCTAATTAGTATACTTTTAATGGCATTAAAACTATATTTTTAACTAGCTTACTTAATGTTTTTGAAATGTCTTGTTAAATTTCTTCTGTTCACTGCTTTCTTTTTCTAAACCAGCAGCATCTAACAATGAGGAGATCTCCGGCAAATCTTTGGTCAACGTGGTTCCCATGCGGCAGGTCAGACACTCCCTTGTGAGGCAGGCATCTTTCCAGGACACTCGGTTTGATTTTGTCAGAGACTCAGACAGCTCCCTCTGGCGCACTCACCTGGGAATGTACCGGAGGACCTGCGCGGCCATTGATGCTAAAACAACAACACAGCAAGGACAAGACCAGCACTGGAGACTCAACATCATCAGTGTCTGTAGGTAATGGGGAACGCGGTGTGGAAATCAAAGATTCAGGCGATCAGTTAACTGAAGACTGTGAAGGAGTTGATGGAAACAGACAGCAGAAGGATTATGGCTCTGAGGATTCCAGGAAGTTTTCTGCACCTGCAGTTTTGTCCAGGCAGCTGAGCAGCGGCAGCTCCTGGTCCACTCACTCCACAACGAGTGCACACCATTACCCCTTCCCTCAGCACAAAAGTCCCAGGAAGTCTG